ATGGAATTCACTACCCCAGAAGGCTGTAGATGCTCAGTCCTTGAACATCCTCAAGGCTGAAACTGATAGATTTTTAAATAACAGAGGGATTAGGGGATATGTGGATAGTGCCGGTAATTAGAGTTAGGTCTGAAGATCAGTCATGATCTTATCGAATGGCGGGGCAGGCTTGAGGGGCCGAATGGCCTACTCCTGCTCCTAATTCTTATGTTCTTATGTAAGCGGGGTCTCCTTGGAGCTGAACCGGCTCCAAGGTGACACGCTTGGTAAAGGAATTTCGTAATCGAGCCAGCCCTCTATAGCTGTCTTGGTAGTCCGGTTCCTGAGCCTGGCTCATCGGGGGATTTGGAAGGGCAGATCAGTCACTGGGGGCAGGGAATCATCCCACTCAGCTCCTGTTAACCCTGCAAGCCAAAGCCCTAATGGGTAGGGTGGTCCTAGCTGGACAAGCAGAGGGAAGGCTTGCCGGACAGCAACATTAATGGCAAGCTATGCAGTTTTAGTTGGTTAGACTCCAGAAATACTCCAATGCACCCTGTGAGGTTAAGAGGCCCAAGGCTTGACTCTTGACAACCTGTGCCTAATACTTTCCGGAATTAGGTAAGCAGGATGCTTCCCTCCAGGGAGAGTGCACATTCCATTCCAACTATCTATTTCTGGGATTTCCATGTGTAGATGGGATACCTGGAATTCTCAGCTTGGTTTGGATATTCTTAATCAAGCAATTTGGTTGACCAAAAAAAACCTGTGTAACAGGGGTGTGTAATTGTGAGCAGTTGGGGTAACTATTGGAGAGAGTGTTTATGCCATATCCAAACAGGGGAATTTCCATGTGTATGTGGTATATATGGATATCAGGACAGACACCAGAAACCTTTTCTTTGGGTGGTTGAGGTCAGGACACTGGACTCATTTAAAGAGCAGCTTGATGATGTGATGGGCAGATGGTAGGGTGGATGTTCTGAAGGTATGAATTGGATGGACCAAAGGGCCTTCTTAATTCAAGCCCACCTTGTGATCTTTGGAACAAGGTAGATTCCAAACCCTGGATATATGATCTGACAAAAGGTTATTGATCTGAAACGTTAACTAATTTTCCTATCTCCGTCGATGCTGCCTGCCTGCTGCATGTGTTTATACCCGATTTCCAGCATGTGCAGTATTTTGTCTTTTGTTTCCTGGATATATGACTGTGTGTTCAAAAACCTGGACTTCAGGTAACGCCTTCCAGCAACTATTGCCCCAACTCTCAGATTCTGCGATTCGATGGACAGATAATATATTCCCTTTGGCCTTTCTCAGCATGGTCCAGCAGGGCAGAAAGGTCAAGAACAAGGAGGCAGTAATGGACAAACTTTGGTGACTTTGACCAGAGCATTCCCGTCAGGGAGCAATCCCGATTGGAGGGGCATGACCCCACAACCGATTGAATCAGAGGCTACGGACTGAGCCAAGCTGGCAATGTTAGGGAGGAGAGGGATGTGGGGATAGACAAAAGTGAACGGTGTGGAAGAGTGAGAGGAGATCCGAGTGGGCAGGGATGACGAGGTGGAGACACTTGTGTGAATCTACTCAATTTTAATAATAATAATCCTTACATTTGATTTAGTGCCATATCATGTCTTTGAGACGTTTCAAAGTGCTTCACAGAATAAACTGTAAAGTGAATTAACTGTATATTTTGTGGATGAAACGCGGCAGCTAATTGCAGACAGCAGCATCTCACAAATAGTCGTGGATTGAGTGACCAATTTATTGAGTTTTAATTAAAACTTTTTTTTGGAGGGATTATCAAAAAGCAATTTGCCAAATGACTAACAACCGGGTTCCTACTTACTGCTAGGTAAACAGACGCATGTGGAGTAAATAAATTCGCCTAAGGTTTTCCCTTCCCTGGGAATCAAACCCGAATCAAATCGCTTGCGAGGCCTCTAACCATTAAACCCCACAAACTTCATTTTGGACCTGAGAAGCCCATTGCCTCCTCACATTTGGAGTTGGAGGTAAGGATGGGTGAAGGAGGTGATTGGTGGTGGAGAAGAGCAGTCTAGCATTGTCTTTGGCCTCTAGGATGCTCCTGGTATAGAAACAATTTGGCTGAGGCAAAAGCGGAGAGGTAGGTTTTGATGTCTCCAGCCAGGTCTGATGATGGAGCCAGATTTGAGTCCCGTGTGTGCAGCAGCACAGGCCTGGCATCAGGGAGTGGAGGAGGCAGTACCTGCGATTCTTGGGCAACAATTCCAAATTCACTGAACATGTGAACAGGAAGCCCAAAACACGAATAATAAATAAAACAGAAGTCACTGGGAAGGCGGGTCAGGCAGCATCTATGGAGATAGGTTAACGTTTCAAGTCAATGATCTTTTGTCAGAACCGGGGGACGTTGGAAGGGAGCAGTTTACAATAACAAACAGAGAAGGGGGCGGGGAAAGAAAGACAAAGAAATAACTAGGTGGAGGACAGTAGATAATGAGATCACAGATGGTACAAGACAGAATGTGTGAACGGTTGTAGAAGAGGGGGAGGCAAGAAAAGATGGGAGCTGTGTTTAAGGTCTGAAGTGGTTAAAATCAACGTTGAGCCAGAGGGCTGTAAGGTGCCTAGGAAGTAGATGAGGTGCTGTTCCTCGAGCTGACTTGGGGGGTCACTGGGTGGTTTTCCCCTTGCTGTGTGCAGAAAGCCGCCAGCCTCATGATACACAACCTAATCTACTGGTGAGAATTGGGTTAGTTGTGCATTCACTGCTGCGCGTGCACCATCCGGAACCGATAAGGAATCCACATTCTAATTGCGTTCCACTCCACAATCTTCCCTGTCACTCCTCCAATCCACTTTGAAATGTTCTGTTCTCAGGCTCAGTTGCCACATATCAAGTGTGCTACCACATGTGACAAGCATCACATGCTCCAATAACTGTGTGAGTGTTTAACTCTTTCAGTAACAATCCTTGGGCTGACCTTATTCTCGATTCACTGACCAATGGGAAAGATTTCACTCTCAATCCTCTGGAGACCTGTGAGTATTTTGAAGCTCTTTGGTCTCATCCCCTCAGGACCTGCTCTGACCCACTGGAAGTTTCCCAGAGGCTGGGTGGCAGGCCACACCGCCACTCTGCTCCTGTGGGAACAAGTAGCCCACCAATCATGTGTTTGGATAAACCAATGGTGGCCAACATTTTTGTTCGGCCAAATAAATACATTTTTCTTTATTTCATGTTCAGTGGATTGATGTTGGGGGCTGGTGTTGGAGGGTTGGTGTTTTTTTTGGGGGGCAGCCGGTGTTTGGTGGGGGCTAGTGTAGGAGGGGCTGGTGTTAGTGTTGCTGGTGTTCAAGGCTGTTGTGGGGAGGGCTTGTGTTGGGGGGCTGGTGTTGGGGCTGGTGTTGGGGGCTGTTGGGTGACGGGCTGGTATTGGGGGTGCTGTGTTGTGGGGCTGGTGTTTGGGGGGTGGGGGCTGATATTCAGGGCTAGCATTGAGTGTTCACTATGGGCCACTTTTTGGGAGTCAAGAAGTGGCCCGTTTAACTCCAGCTGCAGTCTAGGCCAGTCTGCCTCAAATCAATGCCTTATTTTCAGTAGCTACTGAGCAGTGAAATACCCATGATGCGGCCATAAATTATGAAAAATTCAATAAAGAAAAATGCATTTGGTTGCCTGACCAAATAGGTTATCCACCCCTGGTGTAAAGTGTCCACTGATGGCAATCTCAAGCCTGTGTAATGTTATTGGGTTGAAGACCAATCCAATCCTGTGTACACACAGACACACTGGGGTAACTGTTGGGAGTCTAACCAAATAATACCACATAGTTTGCCATTGAGAGAACTGTCTGGCAAGCTTTCCCACTGCTTGTCCAGCTAGGACCACCCTGCCCTTTAGGACTTTGGTTTGCAGGGTTAATAGGAGCTGAGTGGGAGGATTCCCTGAGTAACTGATCTGCCTCTCCAAATTCTGCCAATGAGCCAGACTCGGCTGTGCTGTCATCAGCAGGGCCCTGGAATACTGTGAACCCGCCTGGCTCAGGAACTAGACTGGAGACTGTCACAGACTGTGGGCTCGTCCTTAGATTCTGCGGCCAGAAACCTCACCTTCGAGCCAGTTCATCTGCGAGGGGAATCCGCTTGCCTCCCACCAGGAGGATATTTTAGTACACATTGTAAAACTAATATTAATAATATGTTCATTTGTTATAGCATTTCATCACACCGCTGAGACGTCTCAGAGCATTTTCAGGATATTCTATTAAGTGCAGTGACCGTGTATTTTATAGATGAACATTGCAATGTCCCAAAACAGGCACAGAGTAACTGATCCATTTTATATGGGGGGTTGTTGGTCAGGACACCAAGACAAATTCCTTTCTCTTTTCTCTTTCGCTGCTGGATCTTTAAAGTCCACCTGGACAGAAACTGATAGGACCTTAGTTTAACGTCTCACATTGACCCCATTTCATTAAACGTTAGTTGCCACTGAACATAGCACAACACGGCTTGTATTTATCCTCCAGTCCTCTGTGATCTTAATGTTGATTTGACTGATTTCTCATTGAGGTGCCTTAGCTGCAATTGACTTATTGCTGGCCTTGAATAGAGCCAGTGACCTGCATCGGCAGTCAGAATGCCATGTTCCCCCTTGTCACTGGAGCGGGGCTGAGCAGATCCCAGCTGAGTCTTGGCTGCTCGGTTACAAATCTGTCTCACGTCTCCCTGACTGCACACAGGAGCCGCTCACCAGCATGTGCGGGTCTCTGAGCTTCCTCTCCGTGTGCTGCTGTAGAGCAGGTGAGTGCAACAACGACGACGACTGCTGTTTATATAGCGTCTTTCACGTGGGGCAGCGTCTCGGAGCACTTAACAAGTGACACTGAGCCGTGAGCAGGCGACCATAAGCACGGTCGAAGAGGAAGGTCTACTGTGATCTGAAAAAGGTGCGGAGGGGGCGCGGGGGAGAGACAGAGGGATTGGGGTAGAGTGTTCCAAAGCTTTCTGAGTGTAGTGGCTGAATGGTGGAAGCAGAGTGGACGAAGGACAAACAGGATGCCAGAGCTGGTGAGCGGAGACGACTGAATCGGGAGTAAGCAGGTCGAGGAGGTAGCCTTACTCTCTACCTCCTCCTCGCTCCCTCCCTTCCCTCCCCTCATCCTGACCAGTTCCCCCCTGCTCGGGTCCCGACCCAACTGTCCAGCGCCTTGGGATGTCTTCCCGATGTGAAAGGCGCTCTATAAATGCAATCTTGTTGTTGTTGTTGGGAGGTGCTAGGGCATTCGGGGATTTGTGGACTGTGAGAATCTTGATTATTGTTATTATTATCTTGAAGTTAGGGGAGGGACCAGGACATGGGGTGGGGGTGGTAGGAAGTGGTTTGTTGGATCACCTGCCCTGATTTGATGTGTGCTGTCAGTGTGTTTCGGGACATGGTGTGACTGTGAGTGACTTTATTCTCTTGTATCTGACAGTCCAGATGGCGCAGCACCAGCCTGGAGGTCAGCCAGGTGCCCACCACCCTCACCAGCTCCCCTACCCTCACGCTCCAGGTAATTATCAACTACATGCTTTACACATTCCCGTGTTATAGCCACATGCTCAGCATGTTCCTGTGTAATCCCAATTCCTTATCATGTCACACACAGACACAGATGTACACCTCTATTCATTCAGAAACACGCAACAACAACAACATGCATTTATGAAGTGCCCATCAGAGCTCAATTAACAATTGTGGGGGGGGCAGTGGCGGCAATGGACCATTATTGACGCCACTTTCCAGTCGCTGCTATCCATGCAGCCTCTCTTCCCCACACGTTGTCTCTCGTGAGAGACAACATGGGGAGTGAGGGGAAGAGAGGCTGAATGAGGATATGAGGCATGAGGGAGATGATAATTGCTCTCAGAGAATGAGAGAAAATGGACCATCACACCTTCAGTGAACAAGGAGGCTGTGAACCAGTCATCCACCTCCCCAATGAAGGGGCACTGATGGGGGCAATGGCCCACCCCAGGCCATGGCCAGTGTTCAGCATTGAGGGGGTGATGCAATGAAGCCATGTTTTCAGATAGTGGGGCTGACTTTCTAGTCCTCCCCACCGCCCTGGCGACCAGTCTGTTAAAGCTTTCCCGTGGGGATTGGCAGTGGCCCTCAGGCCAAGGCTTACTTGGCTCATTGGTTAACCTGGCCCTGACACTCAGCACACGGGCAACATCTTGATGCGCTTATCAGATCCTGGGCTGAGCTGGGGTGAGGTGACTGGAGGCACGGTCGAAGACATACCAGCACATTAATGTGCAACCTGACACCTCTCTCACACTCACTATGAGGAGTGATATGGTGACTGTTGATTGTGGACAGTGTGGTGGTTGTAAATACAGTGTGGTGTTTGTGTATATGGTGTGGTGTTTGTTTTTGTGGTGTGGTGTTTGTGGTGTGGTGTTTGTGGTGTGGTGTTTGTGGTGTGGTGTTTGTGGTGTGGTGTTTGTGGTGTGGTGATTGTATATAGTGTGTTGATTGTGTATATAGTGTGGTGATTACATATGTGGTGTGGTGATTGTGTATACCGTGTGGTGATTGTGTATACCGTGTGGTGATTGTGTATATACGGTGTGGTGATTGTGTATACGGTGTGGTGATTGTGTATACGGTGTGGTGATTGTGTATACCGTGTGGTGATTGTGTATACCGTGTGGTGATTGTGTATACGGTGTGGTGATTGTGTATACCGTGTGGTGATTGTGTATACGGTGCGGTGATTGTGTGTATACGGTGTGGTGATTGTGTATATACGGTGTGGTGATTGTGTGTATACCGTGTGGTGATTGTGTGTATACCGTGTGGTGAATTGTGTATAGGGTGTGGTGAATGTGCATTCAGTGTAGTGATTGTGTACATGGTGCGGTGGTTGTGTATACAGTACGGTGATTGTGTATAGTGTGGTGATTGTGTATATAATATGGTGGTTATCTACATGGTGTAGTGATTGTGTATACAGTGTGGTGGTTGTGTGTACAGTTTGGTGGTTGTGTACATGGTGTGGTGGTTGTGTGTATAGTGTGGTGGTTGTGTGTACAGTGTGGTGGTTGTGTACATGGTGTGATGGTTGTGTGTACAATGTGGGACAAGAGACAACTTTCTTCAGCTCAACGTGCGTAAAACTGAGGCCCTCCTGATTGGCTCACGTCAGCGCTTCCGCACCTCAGGCGCTGACAGCATCAGCATCCAAGGCTGCACTCTCCACCTCTCAAAGCCATCAGGAACCTCGGGGTTCTGTTCGACCCTGAGCTGTCCTTTCTCCCTCATATCCGCGCCACAACTGGCACCGCCTTCCATCACCTCCGGAACATCGCCAGACTACGGCACTACCTCACCCCTCACGCGGCTGAAACTCTGGTCCACGCCTTTATCACCTCCGTTCCTCTGGCTCTGGTCTGCTCCACATCCACCGCCCCAACCGCCCTACCATCGGTGGCCGGGCCTTCAGCCTCTCAGCCTCTAGGCTCTGGAACTCTATCCACAGTGCCTTCGCCGCCTCCTCCCTTTCCTCCTTCAAGGCCGGTCTCAAGACCTTTCTCTTTGACTGTGCCTTCAGCTCCCCTCTCGCTCCCTCCTCGCTCCCTCCCTTCCCTCCCCTCACCCTGACCATTTCCCCCCTCCTCGGGTCCTGACCCAATTGTACAGCACCTTGGGATGTCCTCCCGATGTGAAAGGCGCTCTATAAATGGAATCTTGTTGTTGTTGTATAAGGGATGTGTGCTGATAGAGTGTTTTGGGACATGGTGTGACAATGAATGACTTTATTCTCTTGTATTTGACAGTACTGGTGGTGCAGCATCAGCCTGGAGGCCAGGCAGGCTCCCACCACCCTCACCAGCTCCCCCACCCCTACACAACAGGTAAATGTCAGCCACATGCTCCACATTTGTCAGATAATAAATGACCAACTAGTGACGATTCTCCTCGGAGAGGAGGTAAGAGGGATCTCTTTGGATCTGGAACTTAGAATTGACGGTCTCCAGTCCAGTTCCTGAGCCAGGTGGGTCCGCAGTATTCCAGGGCACTGCTGATGACAGCACAGCCCAGCCTGGCTCATTGGCAGGACCTGCAAGGGCAGACCAGTCACTGGGGGCAGGGAGTTATCCCACTCAGCTCCTGTTAACCCTACAAGCCAAAGCCCCAATGGCTATGGTGGTCTTAGCTGGACAAGCAGCAGAAAAACTCATCAGACAGCACTCTCAATGCCAAATTATGCGGTTTTAGCTGGTTAGACTCCAGCAGTTACCCCAACACACACTCTGGGGTCCCCAAACCTCAGCTCTTGCCAACCTGTGCCTAATACTTTGTGGAATTAGGTAAGCAGGAGGTATCCCTTCAGGTAAAGAGTTCACATTCAATTCCACTAAATATCTCAGAAATTTCCATGTGTAGGTGGGATGCATGGAACTTTGTTTGGTTTGGATACTTTGAAGCATGGTGATGGGTTTCTGCACGTGACTGCCTCCATCCCACCATCGGTGACTGAGCCGCTGTTTTGAGCTCTCTTTCTATACCTCTCTTTCTCATCCTCTTCTCTATCTGCATTTAAATACTGCCTAAAACAATATTTTTTCATCCCTTCACCTTGCCCCCACTGTTGCCTCCTTCAAGGCCCATCTCAAGACCTTCATTTTTGACCTCACCTTCTGTCACCCTGCTACCCCCACACTCCCCACCCTCCACCCCACCTGATCCCAACCCCAAGCTCAGGTGCAAATCCTTGATTATCCAGCGAGTTGGGACGTCCTCCTGACGTGAATAGTGCTGCATAAATGTAATTTGTTGCTGTTCTTTGACCATGCTCATGGTCATCCGTCAGTCCCTTTCTTTCCTTGCTCAGTGCTGTGAGGTCTGAGTGACCTTGTCTCCCTTGGTCTCAGGGTAGTGTGGAAGTGACCTAGGATGCTCAGAGATTATAGAAGATTGTGTCTCATTACTTATTTGTCTCATTCCTTTACCAGATGAAGAGCTCAGTGCAGATGATCTGTGGTACGTACCTGCAGATGTGCATCAGTTGCTCAATGAATGCCATTCAGCCCATCGTGCCTCTGCTGGCGCACTGATACAGCTATCTATCCTGTATTCCTATTGTCATTGTCTGATATTGAATGGGTTTGTCTGATTTTGAATGAATTCTCCTCTCTTTTGAATTCTCTATGTGTCTGATTTGAATGAACTCTTCTCTCTGACCAGCTGACCTCTCCACATGGCAAATGAAACATTTAGTGCCCCAAGAGTCTCAGCGCACCAACAACCCACGGTCACCATCTCAGTGCACGGCTCTGAGGTGGTTCTGCAGTGTGCTCAGTGACTGAGATAAAGGGACACAAGCCCAAGACTTCCTTAGGGTAGAGTGATGGGGGATTGGTGGGTATGAGCTGGGTCAGGGTAGGGTGGGTTCAGGTCAGGGTGGGTTGGTGTCAGGTTGGGTTGAAGGTGGGTTGGGGGCCAGGAGGCCATGCAAATATGTACACACCTCTGTCTGGTTAGATATTCTGAAGCATGGTGATGGATTTTCACAATTGGCACCTGACTGACAAGCATCCACCCCCACAAAAAAGATGCATTTCTTGTGGGTAAGTAGGTCTCCAGGGGATGGGGTGTAGTGTCTGTGAGAGATATGTTTGGATACCCATTTTGATGGAGGTCCAGCCTGTCTCATCACCCATGAGGCTTGGTGATGTAGTCATGTCCTCAACCCTGCTGTAGCTACAATGCCCTGAGGGTCAGCTGTTCAGTTACTGTTTGGTGGGTACTTGTACGTTTGATACGTTCAGAAAGCTAAAAGCTCCCTGCATATAATGACAGGGAACCATTGAAATCTGAGCTGGAAAAGAGAGCTGGAGATGGCCAGTGTTTTCTCCAGATGTTTCCTGAGCGAAGAAAATGGATGAGCAACTCCATCCAGGAACTGCGGGAAATTGCTGATGATATCGATCAGTATCACAGAGATGCCACCATAGCAAGTGTGGCCGGATCATCCGCCAGTGCTGTGGGAGGCATCCTAACTGCTGCAGGAATAATCGCTGCCCCCTTCACATCGGGCACCTCATTAGTGCTGTCAGGGGTGGGGGCTGGAGTGGGCATTGCTGGCAGTGCCACCAATCTTACAGCTGGGGTCACTGAGACTGTGGCACGATCTAACAAACAGCAGCGAGTCGATGAGATTCTAGAAGAATACAACAAGGGCTGTAAAGAAATGTCAGCATGTTTAAAAGAGGTCTGTGGGGTCATCAAGCTGTGCTGTGAGGGCCTCGGAGCAGAAGTTGCATGGCAGCAGAGCGGTGAAGGAAAGCCTGAGTGTGTGAGTGCAGTCTGCAGGCAGGTTACAGGGAGGGAGACAGGAGGTTTAGATTACAAGCAAGAACAGAGCTTTGCACTGACCCACTCCATCAAGCAGCTGGCAGCCCTGAGCCGGGAGATCCCTAATGCCAGCCATATAAAGGAGTCTGTGAGAATCAACGGCCTGATCTCGGGATCTCTCCCACTGCTCTCCCGGGTTGTGTCGGGTGTCCTCTCGGCACTTTCCGTGGTGCTGGATGTCTTCTCCATAATGAAAGACTCCATTGACCTCAGCAAAGGAAGCAAGACTCGAGCTGCTCAAACCGTACGGGCCACCGCGCAGAGCATGGAACACGAGTTAAATGCGTATGAAGGCATTTATATATTTCTGAACAAAGTTGTGAAGCTGGATTGAGTAATGTGTTGCAATTTACATGGCAATTGGTGTTGGAATCAAATCATAGGATTTCCCATTGAATGTCACAAAATGTTGTAGTGAACTGTGATTGAAACTCCAGGAGTGTCTCTGCTCACCCAAATACCCTCTGCTGTTCCTGACAGTGGGGAAAAACTTGCAAGACTCGTGAAATAATTTGTAATTCGTGAAATCCGCAGCTAATGCATGTCACACTGTGCTGGGGATTGGGCGGCTCGTTTAATCACAGTCTGGCTTCACTGAAGTCAATACTGAGGTTGGTTTCCAAGTGGCAAACCAGACACACATCCAGGCACAGGAATTGCTGCTTAACAAATCCTTTGTGAATCTCACAACTTACACTTCCCTGTTGATTGTTCCATTCTCCTTCCGCGACCACCTCCATGGCACAGTATTTCCATTCTTACCTTCCCAACCTCCTCCCTGGGAGCAGGGAATCTGACCACTGTTGTGGGCTCACAAGTGAATTATTAAAATATGATCAGAAGTAATTATTACAAAAAAATTCAGTAAGGTATATGTTTATGCTCATTAGCGAGTGTCGAGGTGACCTGCAGAATTACAACCTTGATTATAAAATGACATGTTAATTAAATTGGGCTGAGTTTCAGAGCTTCTGTCTAAGCCTAACAGGTGTCACCAGATAGCTGCTATAACACTAGATAGTATGGTGTGGGAAGATATCAATATGTCAAATATGTCAAAGTGTGGAACATGGCCTGGTGTAGGCCACAGTTGAATGTGCCGCAGGCTCCAATTCAGCTCTGTTTACACTGTTCAAATACAATTTAGTTAACTACTCTACATTCTAGTTTTAAATGATACAAACACAATCCAAAGTCAAAGACAAAATCAATTCTGTTTGCAAATTGCCTGAGAGCGAGAAAACTCACTATATACTGTCCTTGGGAGTTTCCATGATCAGGCTTTATAAACAAAAGCTTTGCTTTAATCATCTGCTTACTCTATGCCACTCTGACTCACAGACTCAAGGCTTGGACAGAATATGCATTGGGGGAACTGCTGGAGTTTAACCAGCTAAAACCACAGTTTACCATTGACAGCACTGTCTGCCAACAGTGATGAGCCAGGCTAGCTGGGCTGTTATTAGCAGTGCCCCAGAGTACTGCACACCCGCTTGGCTCAGCCACAGAGGATCGACTTGATTCTGACATTCTGTTGCCAGCTATTGGAGTTCAGCTCCAAGGAGACCTGACGTGTGTGAGGGATCAAATACCAGCGTTATAATAACCGGGTTACCAGGATACATTGGGAGCATCATAATAATAATAATAATAATCCTTGCATTTGATATAGCGCTTTTCACATCTTCTAGACATCTCAAAGCGCTTCACAGAATAGACTGTAAAGTGAATTGGCTGTATAATTGTGGAGCTAGATGGTTACATGAGTGAATGGTTCAGGATGTACAGGAGAGACCCTATCCAATCTGATAATATGCAACAGTCTGGGGATAGAGAGTAGGTTATGTGATAAAAGCACCTGGCAGATACTGAGCACAATATGATTGAGATTAATTTCCGAGAGGGAGCAACACAGACTCCAGGACTCCATCTGGAGCAATAAAACCGTAAAAATCCCTCATTCATTTCCTGGCTATTTGGGGGACAATACTGTATGCAAATTTGCTGCTACTTTTGCATATAAAATACACAGTCAGTACACAAAGCCCTGTGAGTTTCTTCAAGATGTCCTCCGAATGTGAAAGATAGTCTAACAAATGCAAGAATTGTTATTATGTTATTATCTCACCAGCCAACCAACTATCCAAATCATCCCTTTCCTACCTCCAGTAATCTGTCAAGTTCCTTTTTGAAACTTTCTGTAGTTCCTTCTGTAACTGCCTGTGCTGATAGTTTGTTCATGGCATTCAAGAGAGAATTTAAAATGTAAGGTTGTGTGGAGCTGCAGAAAACAAAATGAAATATAATCTTGATTTGGAAACCGGGTTGTGCTTTACTCGAGTCTGTCTGATTCTTTTTTTAATAAGAATTGATGAAATCTGTTTGGTTGGTCAGAAGACGTGTGGCGAGGCTCTCGTATGAAAGGCTGCGTGCCAATCAGGAATAGAATCGAACCACAGCAAACACTGATAGGTTACAGCAACTGAAAGAGTTCAAGGAACCTGTTCAGTCACAGTCTCACCAGTCAACAGGGCTCAGGCTACAGGCACATTATTTAATGGTTCAACTCTCGACTTTAACAGTTGTGTCTCAGCGCCCGGATCAGGTTAATTATCTCAAGTGAAATTCTAAATGATGTTGAGGATCAGTGAGATTGTGGATGCAGGTACACAGAATTCTAGCAGTGTGAGTGTAGGTGGTAAAAAGACCATCGAAAGGCAGATTTTCAGAATTCTGAAAGGTTTTGGGAGTCGAAATTGTTAAAAATTATTGCTGCTGGATGGTGAATGGATAAAAAGAGGGAATGAGCTCAGTGTTGTCTCTCGAAGAGTTAATGGGAGGTTAGAAAAAAATCCTCAGAGGATCATTATAGCTTGGAATTATCAAAGAATCATAGGATTATAAAGCACAGAAGGAGGCCATTCGGCCCATTGTGTCTGTGCCGGTTCTTTTAAAAGAGCTATCCAAATCAATCCCACTCCCCCGCTCTCTTCCCATAGCCCTGCAAACTTGTCCTACCCAAATAATTATCTACTTCTCTCTTAAAACTTGTTATCGAATTGTCATCCATGATTCTTTCGGGCAATGCATTCCAGATCCGAACAACTCGCTGTGTGAAAACATTTCTTCTCACCTCCCCTCTTTCTTTTAAGAACTATTTTAATCAGTGTCCTCAGGTTACCCATCCACCCGCCAGTGGAAATAGTTTCTCTTTGTTCACCCTATCGAATCCCCTCATAATTTTTAAAACTTCTGTTAAGTCTCGTCTTAACCTTCTCTGCTCCAAGGAGAATAATCCCAGCTTCTCTCGCTTCTCCTCATAACTGAAGTCCCTCATTCCTGGTACCATCCTGGTAAACAAAAACAGAAGTCGCTGGGAACACTCAGGCAGCATGTATGGAGAAAGGAAAGTGTCAAAGTTTCGGGTCCATGAGCCTTCGTCAGACCTGGGGCATGTTGGGAGGGAGAGGCTTTCAAGGGCTAACAGAGAGGGGGGAGGCAGGACAAGGAAGACAAAGGAGAAAATGGGGTAACGGACAGGGGATGATGGGTTAAAGATGTGTTAATGACGCAGAACGATGCAACAAAGCAGGGAAATAGTTAATACTTAATAGTTAATACTTAATAGTTAATACTGCAACAACAACAACAAGATTCTATTTATAGAGCGCCTTTCACATCGGGAGGACGTCCCAAGGCGCTGTACAGTTGGGTCAGGATCCGAGCAGGGGGAAATGGTCAGGGTGAGGGGAGGGAAGGGAGGGGGCGATGAGGGGGTAGAGAGTCGAGAGGGGAGCTGAAGGCTCGGTCAAAGAGAAAGGTCTTGAGATCGGCCTTGAAGGAGGAAAGGGAGGAAGCGGCGAAGGCACTGGGGGATAGAGTTCCAGAGCCTCGGGGCTGAGAGGCTGAAGGCCCGGCCACCGATGGTAGGGCGGTTGGGGCGGGGGATGTGGAGCAGACCGGAGCCAGAGGAACGGAGGGTACGGGCAGGTAAGTAGGGGGATAGTAGGTTGGAGAGGTAGGAGGGAGCGAGGCCGTGAATGGCCTTGTAGGTGAGGATGAGGATCTTGAATTCGATCCTCTGGGGGATGGGGAGCCAGTGGAGGCGAGCGAGGGTGGGAGTGATGTGGTCGCGAAGCCTGGTGCGGGACAGTACACGAGCTGCAGAGTTCTGAATGACCTGCAGTGTGGAGGGAGGTGCCGGGAAGGCCGGCGAGGAGAGAGTTCCCATAGTCCAGCCTTGAGGTGATAAAGGCGTGGACCAGAGTTTCAGCAGCGTGAGGGGTGAGGTAGTGCCGTAGTCTGGCGATGTTCCGGAGGTGATGGAAGGCGGTGCCAGTTGTGGCGCGGATATGAGGGAGAAAGGACAGCTCAGGGTCGAACAGAACCCGAGGTTCCTGATGGCTTTGAGAGGTGGAGAGTGCAGCCTTGGATGCTGATGCTGTCAGCGCCTGAGGTGCGGAGGCGCTGACGTGAGCCAATCAGGAGGGCCTCAGTTTTACGCACGTTGAGCTGAAGAAAGTTGTCTCGTCCAGGACTCGATGTCGGACAGGCAGCTGTCAGGACATCGGTGGTCGTGGAGTTGAGGGTAGAGGAGGAAAGGTAGAGTTGGGTGTCATCCGCATACATGTGGAAGTTAACCCCATGTCTGCGGATGATGTCACCAAGGGGGAGCATATAGAGGGTGAAGAGGAGGGGACCGAGGACAGAGCCCTGAGGGACACCGCACGAGACAGTGCGGGGGCTGGAGGAAAAGCCGTTTGTGGAAACAAAATGAAGACGGTGGGAGAGGTACGACCTAAACCACTCAAGGACAGGGCCTTGAAGGTTGAGGTGGGAGGACAAGCGGTGGAGGAGGATAGCGTGGTCGACCGTATCGAATGCTGCCGATAGGTCGAGGAGGACGAGGAGGCAGAGGGAGCCCTGGTCACAGATGGTCAAGATGTCATTGGTGACCTTGACCAGGGCAGTTTCTGTGCTATGGGCAGCACGGAAACCCGACTGAAGGGGTTCGAATAAAGAATGGGTGGAGAGGAAAGAGCGCAGCTGGGAGGCGACAACTCTTTCAAGGACCTTGGACAGGAAGGGGAGGTTGGAGATGGGCCGGTAGCTTGATAGCTGCGACGCATCAAGGGAGGGTTTTTTCAAAGTGGGAGTGATGGTGGCAGTTTTTAAGGGAATGGGAACAGAGCCAGAGGAGAGGGACAGGTTGATGATGTCTGTGATATGTGGGGCAAGGAGGTGGAGCTGAGAGATAAGGAGTGGAGTGGGGATGGGGTCAAGGGAGCAGGTGGTGGGTTTCAGGGATAGGATGAGTTTGGTGACAGAGGGTGG